TGAAGAATAGATTAAAATAGATTTTTTCCAGAACGTGACTGTAAGCTGGATGCATGAGAACCGAGACGAGTCAGACAATCGTACTTGACCAGGTCTGGCATTATCTTTACGGAACACAATTGTTCTTCTATTGGTTACTGCTGGCCGCTTCTGGGCAATTTCTTTATTCACACCGGTTCAATTGTTGACAGTATAGGGCCGAACTAACGAATTCGGTTGTAGGAGAGCAACCCACTAGTAGCTAATTCTCAGCCAAACTCCACCAAGCACACGACAAAACCTTCCTGATTATCAATCCTGCCATCATCCATTAATCTGACGTTGTCACAAGTGATCCACTTTTCATTAGCAGTAACCATCCGCTTCACAAATGGTTAGATTCGCAGTTTAAATTTGATGGATGAGGCTTTAACACGTTAATCTTTTTGTCTACCTTACATCAAATGGGTTTCAGTTGTTCTTTTTTGAAATTCTGGATAATCGAAGCATCACTAACACTTTGGACGGACTTAAATATTTCTATCAGTTTACCGATATTTCCATCAATTGGCATGCCAGAGCATGCATCGTTGTCATGAAAACTATTTAAACGCAATTGCGTTACAAGCCCATAAAACTTATTAAATTATGACGCATCCTCTCTCTGCTGGTCTACTTTTTGACGCATTTTCCAATAATTCTGCGTGATGTGATTACAATATTGTCTGAGAAATTTATTTGTAGGCACATATAAAACGAAAGATTCAAATTACTGAAGCCACATATTGCAAAAATAATATTGCAGTCAGATATACGAGCCTCAAATGAAAAATTTTCATTTCTGCAAGCGGAAGTCAATATAATCAAAGGCATGAACTCTGATCTTTGGCTGCCGCCGACTGTAGTCTCAACGCTTAACTGACAAGCGTGACTTAATGAAGCGTGACTCGGAATGACTGATGATGTGCCCAATTATCACGGCAATATACGCTAGAATCAGTACACTAATGGGTGCCTCAGTTGGGTTTCATATAAAAATATTAGCAAACTTTTTCGGTGGCAAGCGATATGTACAAATATGTCAAATATTAATCATACAATTTTCAAGAAAAAAAAATATAAAAATAATAAATTGCAACACCCTTTAATTAACAGGCAATACAAAACGGAAGCTTACAAAGACCAAAAAATATAAATTTTTTTTTCTGTTTGCTGAAAACTTGTGGAATGACGGCATGACTGATTTTTCCAGCCGAATAAATTTACTTGCACCAAATAGCTGAACGTGTGTAAAAATGTACGAAAACAGTTATGTGACAAAATAGCGAAGGGTCTCGAAAGTTTGTGTGTCAATGAAGCCGTGAATGTGTGCTGAAAATAAATCACGTGTGACAAATTTCTATGCAGAGAATATTTCGTAGCTGCGAATAGTAAAAACAAGATCTAATAATAACGAAAGCAGAGCAAACATATACACACAAGCCACGCAAACCCACAACTTTGGACAGTATGTATAAGCACACATATATATACATACGTAGCTATGAAGCAGCTGTTGACATTTGGCAACCCAGGATGCAAACTTACGCTAATATTATGTCCTTCAGTTCAAGTATTAATACCAAAAAATACACACACTGCTACAGTTATATGCACATGTGTAGGTGTCTCCACAAGTTAACTAACCCCAGTCGTGGCAGGTAGTCAGATGTCAGGTCATATGGCATGGCAACCCAAAAATATCAATTTTAATGCCACAAATTCAAATGACATCGACTTTCTGCTAGGCTCAAGCGGTTTTATATGTAAATATATGTATGTTTTTGTTGGTTTTGTTTGTACATAACTGCAATATCTTTTGCCCTTTTAGGAATTTCAACACAACACCCACGAACGGAAAATATATTAGTTATAAAATATTGAAATGCGCAAAAAATTGGAATTCCAAAGGCACAACAAAGTTTGGTTATTTCTGTTTTGTTGTGAATTTCCTTAAGCTTAAATGTTTGTAGCAACATACATACATTTACATTTTGCTACATTCTATTACTTATTTATTTATTAAGTCATTTTCGACCCTCCGAATGCCGCCAATTGCAGTGAAAGGAAGCGAGGGCTCGCTCACCTCGCCCACAGCGTAGGAAAGCCGGTGAACTTACCCTTCGCCACAAACCGCAAAATGAATGAATTTGTGTGCAGTTATAAATACAAGCACTTTTTACACATTGTCAAATTTTTATGTTTGTGAAGCTAGAAATTCTAAACGAAAACATTTTGGCAAATATTTTCCATTTCCGGTTTACCCATTCGACTTTTGCCGTATTTATATTTATCGCTTATAGCTTGAAGGTGTTTTACAAACACATATGATTGAGTATGTATGACACTATGATAAAACAAGTAAGGAAGCGCTAAGTGTGAGTATAACCGAACAATTTATGCTCTTGCTACTTGAAAAGTTAAAATCAGGGAAGTACATTTAAGTATATAAGGCTTATTAGTTGTATGGGGTATAAGACGAGTATTCACCGTTTCATTCGTTATAGCACAAATGTGCACAATATGAAAATCAAGTTCTCTCAATTATACTAAGATAACTCACATATTGGCTGATTAATGCGGTATAAAGTCAGTCGGAAGTTTGAAAATCTTTATATTTCGTGTATGGCGGCTAAGGGAAGTATTGACCCGATTCAACTCATTTTTAGCACACATCCATACTACTATCAGGAAAACAATATCTCTGAATTTCAATTGTATATCTCACACATTGACCGATATTTCGGTAAGAAGTCAACTCTGGGCCAACTATAGGCTCTGGAAATACAGATTCAGTAACTAGGGGCTTGAAAAGTAGGTACTGTTATATGGGGAGTGAGTGGAGTTATCCTCCGATTTAATCTATTTTCAACATGTCAGTAGAGGTTCTTAAAAGATTTGCCTTCAATAAATTTAGTTTTTGTAGCTTTAGTGGTTAGGTGATATGTGTATTGAACTTATTTGCGGGCGGGGCCACTGCCCCTTTCTCCGAGGTTCTGTGTCAGACTACAGTCTTATAGCTTAATTTAGTGCTTGGTTACGGCAGTTTACAATTTTCGGTTAGTGGCTTATTATGGGTGTGCAATGGTTTGATTACGCCCACCTACGAACTCGTAATTATTTTTTATTTTTTTTTTGTTTGTACTAAGAAACCCTATCTCTCGATCAGTTTTAGATAACACTTACAGCCTTGAGGTGATACTTTAATACTCTGCCCCCACATGTTGAATGGGTATACAAATATTTAGAATCATGCAATAATTAAGGGGTGTTTCAAAAAATATAATTTTTTATTGTCTTATTAAATTCTACAACTTGTATAATATTGCCTTAAATTTTCAAGTTTATCCGAGTAATGGTTTCGGATATACAGCCTTGAGAACTTGTACGCTCGAGGCTAGCTAAGCTAAGTGCACCGTCTTTAAACGCGTTTTCCTCGAATCTGTGTTTTTGAAGTCGGTAGACAAAATTTCTTAAAAACTATACAACCGATCTTCATGAAATTTTACACAGGTCTTCGAGATACAATTCTTAAAGACAACTAAGCAATTGAGATTGTGATTAAACAACAATAATCGAAGTTCTGGTTGAGTTTTTAACTAAATTTAAAGCAATTTATTTTTAAATATGATAGATATTATAATGATACCCTAAAGAGAGAATATTTTGTTTTCCACGAAACGTCGGAGATCTATGAAGTATATACATAAGTGGTCAGCATGAAGTGCTTAATCGATTAAGCCAGGTCAATCCGTCTGTTAATATTTGAAATATTTTCCCAGTTTTTGAAGATTGTTGATTTGTCGACACCCCCGATTTCGAACCACTATAGCACTATAGATGTCACTGAACAACCGAAAAAAAAAAAACTTGTTTGTAATATTTTTTTATACGAAAAAATATCTTCGAAATATTTGTTAATGGCACAGTTTATGAAGAAATCTTTCAGATTAGATTACTATAGCATATCGGAAATAAGTTCTTGTAAGGAATCTTTTCAATTTGTGAATGGTATTACAAAGTTAATGGTCAAAAAGTAGTTATCGAAGCTAACTTATTATTTCATTCGAAAACGTTATGAAAATTTATTGATTTTTAGCATTTCGACAGCTTTTGCGATTATATGGCTTATAGAGTGTTATTCTTGATACTACCTTATATCTATCAACGGTTGCAAAAATTACACTGAATAACCTTCTTGTGTCTCATTTTTTCAAAAGGAAAACATGTGATAAGACTAGTTCAGTATGTAAAAACTCAGCTGAGAACTCTTTATCAGTTCAGTTCGAGGGTTCAGTTTGTAATCTAGTAGCATATTAATGCACGGGCTTCCCTAAATACCCTTGAGCTTCCTTACTTAGTATCAGAGTCCATAATCCAAAAATTTTTGGTGTGAAATCCCGATTACTCTGTCATATTCACTCACTAAAGGTTTTTCTCTTTTTGCCTATTTCCATATGTTTATTACATCTTGAAAGCAGATTCTTTGGACTTGCTGCCTTTTTAATGAGGACGTCAGTAAGAGAAACTGAAATTGCTTTTTGGTATAGACAACAAAAATACTAAAACATTTTGTCACAATTCGAGCACCTTTGATTTTAATAATTAGTCCCAGAAGTACATACATCTATCTAGGAAATTAATATAATACTCGGATGTATACTTGTATTAACAAATAAGGAAAAGCTAAGCTCGGGTATAACCCGAATTCCTTAGCTAATAAAGGTACATGAGGGCTACAGTTGTTGAAATTTATGTTCTTCTGCATTCATCTCTTTTCAGTGCACCCGTATCTACAGTATGTTGAAAAATGATTGTGTTCCGTACTAAGCGGGGACATGAACCAATTCTTTTGCTAAAAGTTATATTGAAAAATTGAAATGCGCTTAGTTTAATATTCGTGCCACTTAGATATTTATTTTAAATGATGAATGAATCTACAAAGATCCCTTCTAATCACCCTTCTCTATTTTCTTTTCCAGAATGCAATCGAAAAATTAATTTTTTTAGCTAACAAAAGAAAATATTGATATTGATTAAGAGATACCAAAGCCTTAAGTGACTAAAGTGTGAAGTGTTGGAAAAAAACTTAAGATAAATAGTGTATTCAAATAAAAGTAGCTTAGAGTATAAAAAAAAGCTAAGAAATCAAAAATAGTGTACACACACGTAAGCGGTCGGCAAGAAAATGGGCAAGAAAAACTCCAAATTGAAGCAGGACACCATCGATCGTCTAACAACAGCCACATACTGTAAGTACCATAATAATTTATTAATATACATACTATACATACATATATGATATATGATATTTATCTAAACGGCTTTGAAGACCTTGGCAGCAATTTTCAAGTTTAAAGTGCACGGAAATAGACTTGTGCCAAACTGCAATGTCATTGAAAATGCGGCTTGCCAACAAAAATAAAGAAAATCTCCCAAAAGAAAAAAAAAATGCCCAAAGTGCGACACATAATTGCTTTGCGCAGTGCACAAAAGCGATTTGAACATAACGCGCTAAAAACTCCGCTGTTTTGCCTTTATTTTTGCATGTGAGCGAAGCCATCAGTGTCCTCCAAAAAGTTTCCAAATTTAAATTGTAATACATGGCTGACATTGCGAAAGCTTTCAAGGCACCGAAGCGGCACAAAGGCAACTAAGGAGGGAGAAAAAACGAATTTTGGCAACGAACCGCCGAAACCATAAACATATATAAATATATTTTTCCTATTTGCTAAATACGCTTATATACCCGCACATTATATGGATACAGGCTTGAGCTCATTCCAAATATATGACTTTTATATGGAATCAAAACTCCACATACGCACAAACAAATGCAGACAGCAGAAGTGAACTGACTTCGAAGGCACTTTTGCGGTATAATTTCTTCAAAACTTTTCATAACTCGGTATTGAGATTTTTTCGGCAAAGGCATTATGCCTCAATTGGTTGGTTAACTGCTGCGCCGGATTGCGCTAGGGAAATATAAAATAAAACCGCGGAGCAAAAGCCTGAAAATTACAAAAAACAAAAACAACTTTTTCAAGCACACAAAAGTTAAGTGAAATGGAAATTCTTTTATAAGTATTAATGCCAGTTATTGTTGTTGTAGAGATCATCATAAGAATTTTTTTGAATTTAATTAATTCCGTTATTTACATACTTTGGCTTTTCAAAATTCGCATTTTGCCTGAGTTATCAGCAGTTTAGTTATCTCATGGTCTGATTTTGTTGTTCTCTCAGACTTTTTCGAACAAAAACTGCATAAAAAATAAAGGATAAGCTCAAATGAGATAGATATGGCATTCATATATTCTTTTTTTCATATAAAACGGACCGAAACCTCTTATTAGATTGATTACCCGATTTAATACTGGTACTGAAGCTAGCTCACTCCAAAAAATATATCTGATAATGCGAAAAATTTTAATATATCTGTATAAAAATCTTCGGAATTTTCTATCTTCTCCAGGCTTAGATCATTGTTTTTTTTAGGGACTTTACCTTGCTCTCCTTCACCACAGGTTCAACTTCTTTCGCTTCTAGAGCCCGTGACGGCTCTATTGTTAAGGTCAATATCATCTGCTTACTCCAGTAGCATTGCAGTTTTATAGTAAACAGTGTCGCTGCGGTTCAGAGTATCTCTTTTCCCTTTTTTATATTGAAGAATGCACGAGAAGAAATCATTCTGTCTAATGCTTTGTCTGGTATCGAACGGCTTGGAGAGGTGCTTTCAGATTTTGACGGAGCTGATGGTTGTGTCCAACATCATTTTACATAACCGTTTGAGTTTTGCAGGGATATTAAATTTAGACATGACAACGGTAGCTCCTATCAGAGCTTTCCGATCTGTTTATCAAGCAACATCCTTATATCCGGTATTTGGCTTATTGTGAAAATTGGGTCTATGGTGGATTTTCCATGTCTAAAGCCACAATGATAGGGTCCAATCAGTTTATTTATAGGTCATTCACACAATAACGCCGAAAAAACCTTATTCTATATGCAATATTAAGGTTAAGAAGACAGATCGCGTGGAATCTCCCTTCCTGTGGATAGAAATTCCAATCATTGGAAAAATCATGATTAGGAGTTAGAACACGCGCCCTTATAGCTCTTCGCCGCCGGATTTAAACAGCTCAGCCGGTAGTTCATTGTCTACTGGAGCTTTGTTGATTGTAAGCCGCCTTAGAACTGTTTTTAATTCGTCTTGGTCGATTTGCGGCGACAATGTTTTCAATGGAGATTGTTGGTGCAAGTTCTTCTTCCTCCGTCGCTTTTAAGGTTGCTCAAGCTCTACTCATTATTTTTTTCTATTTTCTATCTCTCTTTTTTTTTTTTTGTTGAAAATACATCTATCTTTCTTCTTCTTTCATGCGTGCCGTTATTTCACAACCCCGCAGCATGATGGCGGGATATTAATCCAAATACATAATATTTTAAGATTTTAATTTACAACTCAAGAGCTAATATCAAATTAAGCTTTTTTTGGAAGGAATATAACAATTCCAAGAAAATTTATATTTATCAGCAGCTACTGAAGCTGATATTATAGTATAATGCTTTGTGATGGAACTACCTTTCACGACCATCTTTGCCGACGATGACATCCTACTAAAGTCAGCGGTGTCAATAATAATTATTGATTCGCCATGCTTGCTAATTATACATTTTATGGGATTTCATGAAATGAAAGGAAGCTTACAGATCTTAAAACCGTATCAGTTTAATGGTGCTCCTTCTAACCCTTACTAAGAATAAGTGTGAGAGGATAAATAATAATGAAAAGTTGTCAGCAGAAACTATTCGTGGCTTACGCAATTCATTTTACTAAGTATATTATATATATCAAATGTTATTTTAAAATCTAAGGGCTCCTGACTAGGGCTACTAAATACTGTTTCATAAGCAATCATTTTATCAACTCCATAGTAGTAAATTTTTATGTAGTCGTCGTAACAAAGATACTCGAGGACGATCTTCTACAGTCGCATACCATGCATTATTATAGGTTAATAAGTACAAATTTTCTGTTTAATGAATTTGAAATGTTGCAATTTATTTCAACAATGTGAATTTAAAAATTCCCAATTCTGGAAAAATTACCAAAATATCCTAAAAAAATGCAGCCTTAACAGAAATTTGCAATGCAAAAATATGCAAAGCTCCTGTGGCGTGGCAAACATTAATTCGATTGTGGCTCAAGCTGACAATTTCACAATTTTAAAAGGACCCGCAGAGAGTGCACTTAAAACAAGTGGCTAAATAAATAAATAACAGTGATGTATTGGAAATGTGCTTTACGCTACTGAATTGAGCACTTTTTGATTATTTTCGGTCAGTTGGAAGTTCACACGAAATTCAATGAAAGAATTAACAAGCGCAAATTTCAGGGATGTACATATATGTATACCAAAATTCGAAATGTATATGAAAGTATATATATATATATATATATATATACAATATATATCTGTGCAATAGACGGCTTTAAAAACGCTATAGATTTTCGGATTTTGCTCAGAGTGTGTTAAAGTGCTTTCAAAGTGTGGTGAAAGTTAAGCTCAAATTCGGCAATGAATTTTCGGGCGTAGGTGTTTGTTGTCAGGAATGTATAGCAAAATCAAATATGTAAATAAATTAAAGAAAACCGAAATTTGAATTTAATTTTATAATACAAAAATACGGAGGAAGAGCTAAATGTATTTTTGAAATGTTTTTGAAAATTTACTATTCTAAACCAAAATTTTTACGACTAATATTTGTTTTCCGTATTTGGTTCCGTGCCATTACGCACTTCCACCAAACCGTTGCAGTGACATCACTCTGGTGCATATTTTGGAATGCTGTAGCTATTTTTCATTATTAAATAAATACCATACACATGCCAACAACAACTGATGGCATCGCCATGTGGAACGTGAGCCAACAGGACACGTGTTTCGTTGCTTGTGGCAAATAGTTGATGTTCTCTTATTGTGGAGGCAATGTTTACTCTTTTTCGATATTTTGCGACAGCCATGGCGCCACTGTCGTTCCGTTTAAACATCATTTGGTTGCTTTGCTTGACATCACGACTGGTTGAATCCTATTAGCTGCGTTTGGGATACACCGGAATGAGTTTAAGCGATTGAATTTGAAAATATTAATTAATTAGTGTAGTTGTTGGGGTGGATAACTATCAAAGCTCAAACACCCATTTCAATAGCGTTAGTCTCTTGGTAGGCAGTAATGAGTTTTATTTTCGTGAAAAATAGTCGGAATTTACTTAAATCTCCAGATCCCTCAGTTTGACGTTTGTCATCAGCATGCACACCAAATAATTAGATTTTTGTCAAGTAATTTGCAATACAAAAATCATTTTTTGAATTTAGCTGTTGGTCCTAATCGCAGCAATTTTGCTTATTATGAGAATATAACCATTGAGCCAGAAATGGGCCTCATCCCTGAATAAAATTTGGCTCGAAAACGTTAGATCTTCTTGGAACTTTTTAAAATCCAAGCGGCTTCAGTTCTTAAAGCTATGTTTTGTAAAATACTGACGTCGAAGTTGGTGCGGAAGATGATGAGTTGACTCGCCACGGTTTTCGTGTATATTCTCAGCTACGGCTGCTATATTATCTTTCCTGCGTGATGGATGTGGTCGAATATTATGCAAAATTAATGCTGGGTTATGTTGATGCTAAAAAAATCATTTGTCAGATCCGCTAACCACCAGTATAGTAAACCGTTCAGAATAAAGTTTTTGTACGAAAAACTATTTTAGTTTAGAATACTATGTATATATCTTGGATTATTGTCCAAAGCTGAACTATATCAATGTCGCAGAATATCTCGTACAGTTCATTGTTTCACCGAATAGTTAGGCGAATAAAAATCTAACGAATAGGTTGATTTGGTCTTTCATATGCAATATTATGGCATGCTCTAGCGATACGAGTATGAGTGGACAACGGAGGCAAGGGCGCCGACGCATCCAATGGAAGACAGCTAAGACTGACTAACTATTTATTTATCGTACTACTTCTTTGTAAACGGCTTCGGTAAAATTTAAAGCAATTTTATTCGGTTCAAATAAGACCTATGTGTATGAGAGTTCTTATAAATAAATAATCTACCATGGATATGATCCAACTTTTCCAGGATGCAGTATGTTAGTAGAAAGAACAAAGGAAGTTTCGCTGTAAGACTTGCCCAGTCATACTCGATTTCACGAAATAGTGAATTTCACGAATTAGTGCATACAGTGGAA